GGCTATTGACGCTTGACGTCAACTAAAGGGTAGAACGTCAATTAAATTGATTTATTTTAAATTCCTTGTACCCTACTTATATAATATTTTAGATAAAAAGTCCAATATAAAAAACCTGAAAGCGTATAATTTAAGAAAAATTACAAAGGAATGGCTGATGGAGTTGGATTATAACACATGTGAAAATTTATTTCAACGTAATAACTAAGTCATCACATCCATATGCACTTATAAATATACACATACACACATTTACACACAAATAAACACACACACACCTACACACACACACACACAATAATTATTAATTCATAAATTAGTTGTTTTTCTACACAAACAATTATTAAATTTATATATATGGGAAGTCCTTTTCTCCATAAGTACAGGTCTTCCTAGTTAAGGAGTCATGGCAACATTGAATTTGAATTTCTTGTGTATAACAATAAAGATTTTTTCATTTTCATATAACTTTTTCTCGGCATTTTTACGGAACATATTCCCCGCGAATAAAGAGCTTTTACTGTATTTAAAGGCAAAAAAAACCTTTCTCAGTTCACCTTACAAAAGTCTCGGCAAAACATTTTATCGCAACATTAATTTCTTGTATGGCTTAAAAGATTTTTTTACAGGATATTTCCTATGTGACGGAGTCGTCGGAGAAAAGCTTCGTGGTGGAGTGTTAAAATATATATAAAAATCAGATATTCAACTCAAACTGGCATAAAATATTTTGCATACAGCGGTAATTGTTTCTTCGGGAAGCCTAATAATTTATGTTTCGTATTTTTATACCTTTTAAACTTTGTTAATCATTAATTTCAAAAAATTCCAAGCAAAAAGTCTTAAGTAAAATGTAGACTTACGAAATTTTTATAAAAACATAAAAGATAATAAATACTATAATGATTTTCCACAAACAAATCTTTATCAACACTTTTAACTTTTAACTCAGTCTTTATCGACACTTTTAACTTTGACAATATTTTAATATTAGCTTTTCACTGGTATTAGAGGTGAGTGTGGGTAAAGCTTACCAGTATGGGGGTGGTAGGAGATCCAGAATTGATGGGCCAGCTTAGTGGGTAGCGGTGACGGGCTGTACGGGGCTGAACGGGCGGTGCGGGCGGTGCGGGCGGTGTGGTGTGGTGCGGAGCGGTGTGGTGTGGTGCTGTGTGGTACGGGTTGTGCGGGCGGCGCGGGCACGGCCGGGCGCTGCTAGGTGCTCTACTCTACTGAACGCGCCTAACGCCTCACAATTTATTCATAGATGTTTATTTTGATGGTAACACATACACAGTATATAGTTAGGTCCGTGCGATTGGCAAACGTCCAAATCTTTTTTGTCCCTAAATCTCGTTCTTCGTGAACGATGTTAAGCAACTCGGCCATACCGATGATAGCACTTTTATTATTCACAATAACATAATTGTTTAGAATAGCTAATTAAATTTATAAGATTATTTTCTTCTGGCCAACGTACGTCACTGGTAGTACAGTATAATAAAGTGTGCATCTTCTCTATCTGCCATAAACACCAGTAAATTGTAAAACAGCACAAGAGTCATATAAGTTAATAATGAGAATGATGACATTATAACTTTCATTTAAACTCTTCTTATTCGCTTAATCCACTTTCAAAATACTCTTAATTCATCTGTACGCTTTTTACGTGTATGAAAAAGTAATAAAGAGTTTGAATCTCACTCGTCATAACGTTTTTAAATGATTTTTTTACAGAATTTAATTTTTAGACGAATATGACGGAGGACAGATCGCACAGAAACAGAACGTTTCCCCTTCCTATGTATCCCCTTCTTCGTAAAATCAAATTCCCCTTCCCATGTTTTTCTTACAAGAAAAGGGTGGCAAGGAAAACAGGACTAAAATGAAGCCTCCGGCATGACACTCAACAGAATGTACGCATAGTTGCTTCCACCTGCCGCCTGTCTTCTGTATGTCTTCTTGAGTCCAATTCGTGCAACATACTACCCTTACCTTTGTCTACCGTTGTTTAATATATAAAATAATAGATATTGGTATGACATTCAAATTTCGTAGTTTGATCCTTAAGAGGGCAAAATAACAACAGGAATAGGGGATGAAAGTTTCTATTCGAAAATGTAACGTTTATGTGAATGTATTGTAAGTTTAATATAAAATAAGTTTAAGTAAAATAAATAACATAATTAAAAGAAGCGACTGAATAAATTGACCGACTTGCATGCATGTAATAGTACATGACTTTGCACTTTTTACGGTAGAAAAACTTAGTTGCAAGACTTGCCTTTTTTGGCAAGTTTCGTTTTTGAAGACATCTCATATCTTTATCTTTTTTGTGGATATTGCGTTTTACTTCCCGTAGCTACACCAACAATCCATTGTGTTATTCATATTATATAATACAGGTTCATAGATTAATGAAGGCGCTATGAGAGGAAAAATGCGCTTACTAGAAAGCGTAGAACAGGACATCTAAAAAGATTTGATTAGTCATATTTTAGTATGTGTAACATCAGTGCTCTAACTAGATTCTGGTCGAACAGAATTTGGATTGTATACTATTTTCTTGATAAATTTATATTTTGAAAATGTGTCTACTCCGGTAGGAAAAACTGTGCATCTGTTTCTAATCAAAATCTAAATGCTTTATTCGATTCGGTACATATCTATCTTATCTAAATTCTGATCGAACGATTTTTCGATACGTTTTTTATTGAATTTTTAATCGAATTTTATTTTTAAAATCAAGCATCAATTTTCCGTGTGACCTGTGCTTGTCGCTCCCGCGCAACCTCCCGCGCCCCTCGTAGTGTATCGCGATAAATAGCGACTAGCAAACGCTCGCACTTTCAAGGTCTTTATTCAAGAGTGATAGTAGAAAAAAACACAGGATATATTTATTTAACACATAATATCTTCAACAATGAGAAAAAAATTAAATATTTTACATAAATAAATAAAAATATATTAACTTTAGCTACTGATTGTATTTTTTAATGTGTGTATATGTTATTTAATACATTCATATTAGAATTAATATAAATGAAAACAATGCTATAAAATAACATTTACTAAATTCCAAGGCGATTCCTCAACTATACGATAACACTTGTTGCGATTCATTAAAATTATTATGTTTACTGCATCAATGTTGGGTATCACAAACTCATTAAAAAAACTTGCATGCATCTAAAATAGGGGAAAAAGCAACCAGACATTTCGGTAAAATGTCTCATGCCACGACTACATCGTGGGTGAGTTTAATATTTCTGTACAAAGCTA